AGCTATCAGTGTTTCAGACAGGGGTGTGGGCAGTAGCCACACAGAAACATATCAGCCTGTCTAGGGTATGTGGGGAGAGTCCACAAGGACATTAAGAATAAGGCCACCGTTATCCCTGGTGACGCTACCCATGGGATGTTCGGCGGTTGGGGTGTCCATCTCCTTGCCCCCCTATTACCAGATGGAAGAAAGGTATGAAGAAAAGATTCACTCATAGAGATGATTGGTAGAGGCTTAGTCAATTGTACAGAATTATGGGAGCCGATAGTGAAGAGATTCTCTAATGTCACCTTAAATAAGATGCCAGTATTAATGAAGCCAATAGAAAAGATCGATATGGATCACTTAAGGGATAAGTTAAGTGCGTTGGGAGACGAAGGTGTAGCTTGGGAAGACGATGAGCAGATCGCGATAAGTTGGTCAATAGTGATGGGTACATTTCTAGTTATAGCCATCGGGGGTGTAATAATATGGAAGATTAAGAGTAAAGAGAAGATTGGCGAACGACAGTCTAGTGAGCATGCAGCAACTCGAGAGGAGATGCCGAGCAGTGTTCTTACTCAGACAGGACTGGCGAAGAAATTGCTGAAAGACCAATGGAGGAGGCTGGCGTGAGACCACCACGTGCGGCGGAAAAACCTCCCACGGCAGAGAGGAAAACATTGACCAAGAAGAACAAACCCTAGTGAACACATCTGCACCTACAAACACACACACATTACCTTGCATGTAAAACAAAAGAAAATGAAAAGAACATTTCATTGCATGTAGAACAGAAGAAAATGAAAAGAACATTACATTGCATGTAGAACAAAAAGAAAATGAAAAGAACATTTCATTGCATGTAGAACAGAAGAAAATGGAAGGAACATTTCATTGCATGTAGAAACAAAAGAAAATGAAAAGAACATTTCATTGCATGTAGAACAGAAGAAAATGAAAAGAACATTTCATTGCATGTAGAACAGAAGAAAATGAAAAGAACATTACATTGCCTGTAGAACAAAAGAAAATGAAAAGAACATTTCATTGCATGTAGAACAAAAGAAAATGAAAAAGAACATTTCATTGCATGTAGAACAAAAAGAAAATGGAAAGAACATTACCCTTGCATGTTAGAAAGTAGAATAGAATTGCATGAGACAAATGCATGGTGCATGTTAAATGATGTAATTGGGTTTAGGTGTCATTTACGGGTAAATGACAAATCAGTTAGGGAGGATTGTGGCACCTTGCATTATTAGAAATATTCATAGAAATATGATTTAATTTTTTCTTACTCGGTTTACTAAACAGGTTGTTGATTTTTTTTTAAAACGGAAAATAATTGAGTTGAAAATAATTCACTAAGATTGTACTTAGTCGATCCTAAGGGAAGAAGGAAAGAAAAAAAAGAGAAGAAAGAGGAAGAAAAAAAAAAAGAAAGAAAGAGAGTTGGATGATGCATGACCCAGTCAATGGTGGAGATAGGAGTCAGAAAGATATCTTGGCCTGCGTGTGGCCGAATTTTTTAAAGACAATTGGAAGAATAGAATTAGAAATAATAGAAGAAAGAAAAGGGAAAAGACATGATATCAAAACGGGCCGCTTGATGAAAACCAGATATCGGTCAAAACATCTGACCTACTTTTGCGTAGAAAGACTCATTATCAATTTGGAGTAAAAGGGAAATTTTAAGAACAATGAGAACGAAATCTTAATCAGAGAAAAAGTGTGTTTTTGGGTTGAGGGGGTGACCGGTGGAACTATATACAGATCCTGACCTATTAAGAATTGGAAACCTACGATAATAAAGTGGGGAACATTTTCAATGTAGATAATTAAGATTTTCTGACTGTCGGGTCTGACAAAGACGGGAGGTGAAGGGACGATTGTCTCAGTTCACAGATAGCGCCAATATTCTTCCTGAAGTCACATCTAATTAGCGGCGGGCTGTTTGACAGAGCCCAGGTGAGAGAAAGCCAAGATTGTCATTTTTCGTACGTGCAGAAAGGGCAAAATTGGATTTTGTTTTTTAAAAACAAGAACGATGTAACCACGCCCGAAAGGAGGAGAAAGGATGCTCGATCAATAACAATTGGTCGGAAACGGTCACGTGATCTGCAGAAAAGAAGAGAAAGAAATGCCCGATCAGGAACCATTGGTCGAAAAACGGTCACCTGACATACGAGAGACTAAGAGATGGGTGCACCTCCCACCAAAGGCACTGTGAGGAAGTAGGGGTGAAAACAATAGCGATAATGGGAAGTCAAAAATAATGCGACTTTTGGAATTATCGAGAAACCCCTGACGCCGACAGACCCACCCCGGTTTGCTGCGGCGTCAATAAAAGCAGGGCCCCAATCGACAAAAAGGCAGTTCAGCCCCGGACGGCAGCGAGAAGAGATCACCTCGGACGACAGAGAGTTGCGGCTGAGTTGCGGCAAGAGATCCTTCCAGCCCAAGTCGAAGACAAGAGAACTTCCAGCCTAAGTCGACGAAGAAAAAGAAATACAACTCAAGTCGAAGAGAAGAATCAACTGCGAATGATCGATAGAAATTAGCCCCAGTGTCGAACCAAACCACACTCCGACATACACAATTCTAAAGAGTAGGCAATTCGAAATCTTTAGGTTGTGTGATAGAAACTTTAGTGCCATAGTCCACAGAGCGGGTCGGGAATTGAGAACAATTTTGTTTTTATGTAACGGACATTAAGATATAAAGGTTGTTACCCTTTTTTTCATCAGCAATCTTTTTGTCTCGTGAGTTTATTTTCTTTTTATTTGTGTTTTGCCACCCCCGTCGGACTCAACATATCGGCCCCAATCCCTGCTGGTCCCGTCTGTCTAAGATCTAAACACAGCGTGGGTAGACAGACCGGAGATCGGTACAGTTGCTTTAGTGACCAGGTATTGGAAGCGAGTTGGGAAAGGCGAGGCTGGTGATCATCTAACCAAGGGGTTGGAGCGGCACGCTTGGAACCAGGAGGAGCGACCAGGAGGAGCGACGTCACAGTTGGCGCCGTAACCAAGGGATTCGACCCTGGGCCAGGTGTGTAACCGTCACATATATATATATATATATATATAATAAGTCAAGAAATCTTTAAAAATCCATCTCGGTTATAATTTATTTCATGAATATATTTTAATATTCATTTCTTCAGATTATAACCAAGGTGGATTTTTAAGGGTTTCTTGGTTTTTTATTATTATTATTATTATTATTATTATTATTATTATTCTCTGTTAGCTTTCTTTGGATTAATGTCCCCCTTAGAAATATCCCAACCAATATTCGCTGATTGAAAAAGGGAGTACAGGTTTGAAAAATGAAATATTGATCGGAAAAATGAATACAAGTTTGTCGGAAGGCACGGTTTCTTTAGAAGAACTCTCGACTTTTCGGACCTTAGACGTTAAGTTCACTGTTAAGAAAGACAGGAATATCTGGTGAAAAACGTGTACCCACTAAAATATCTAATGTATACAGTAATACAGTGTAACCCGGATATAAGAGAGTTGTCGGGACCGGAGAAGAAATCTCTTATATCCGGGTTTCTCTTATATCCGGGTTTGGTCTATTTTATATACATTAACACAGGCTCTAATTTGAGACCAGAGAAAATCTCTCTTATATCCGGGTTTCTCTTATATCCGGGTTTCTCTTATATCCGGGTCTTTTTTTTTATATCCGGGTTACACTGTAATTAATATCTATAAATATACTGAAGTGTATTTCCCTGGAGTGCCAAAAGTTAGTTTTAAATCCAGATAAATGTAAGGAATTCTAATGCTGATTTTCAAAAGTGGCTTTCCACAATTAAATTCTGTTACGGTACAATACTCCTACCTACACGTGTTGCTACTCACAATTCGATTTTATGTTGTATTTGGTAAATACACCAAATCCCCTGGTTACGACAGTCATGACCGACGGCGATTCGTGGTTAAAACGCAGTCTCCATTAATCTTGTTTCCACATGCCGTGGGCCAGTTCCTGTTTGTACGCCATATTGGATTGTTGTGCATTCGTCCTCTTTCGTTTGTGCTGTGTTTGTAGAAACTTATTACTCATCATTATGGCTCACAAGCGTAGTGTAACCTTTTCTGATGGCGGTGCTTCGAAGAAAAGGAAAAGCCATCACCATGGAATTAAAATTAGACATTGATAAATGGTCTGAAATGGAGAAACATCGACGAACATTTTGGTTGGTTGCTTGGTTTAATGAGTAGACATATTGAGTTTCCCTGTAAGCAATAAGGGACATTTTCTTGTTAAACTATAAGTTGGTAAGTTTCCGATAAAAAGAAAAAACAAACGTGATTTTGTTTTTCTTTCTTCCCTAGATTTACTGCTGCTTCCGAATACTGCAAGAGAGACGAGATCTTACACTTCGTTATCTCATCTACCGAGAACCAATGACATCACTAGCAGTAAATATACGAGCAGCTTAAAACAATTTTATTTCGTTATATATATTATTTTCCTATGCACTACGATGTGGTGTAATGATTAGCAAGCTTGTCTCACTAAATTTTTACGACTGAGTAGTTAGTTCGATTCTTACTTTGTGACACAGCTTAGTAAATCACTATATCATTTCATTATGTTTTTTTGAGTCCTCATTGTGGTAACATGTCATAGAAATGCATTATGACCTAGATTATTACTCTACTATTGGTGAGTGAGTGACTTAATTGATTATTTACACAAAATCGCGGTTAGATTCTGACTTACACGAAAAATTGCGTTACGACACATCGTAGGAACGGAACTGTCGTAAGTTGAGGATCCTTACCCTGTATCAAGTGTAATATGTAGCCAGGTTTTCAGGTTAAATATTGTGTAACTCTCAAGGAAGTCTAATTAATCTCAGCTCGTTCCAAATTCTTTCATGTTCCGATTTTTCATTTATTTCTTTATCATAAGCAAAACGTATTGAACAACGCTGGAATTGTATTCAAATATACAAAGAAATAGAAAAAAACAAACAAACAAAAAAAAATACAACTTACCCACAGAACAAATAACCAGAAACAAAGTTAAAATACGTTGCATTTTGAGGCTGTCTAGACGCGTTTTTTGCTGAAATGATTCTCGAAGAGTCGATCGGAACTGTCTCTTTTCTTCCTGGCTTGAACCTTTTTTTATAGGTTCACTGGCATCCTGGTAATTATTTCAAGCTTTCTTACTTCCGGGAAGGAGATATCACGTACAATTTGAGTCACTAATAAAATGTTTCAAAAATGTTCGTCAAAAAAAAAAAAAAAAATGCACAGATAAGATGACATGTTATCATTTTCTATACAGACCTGATAACACTATCTTTGGGTTAAATAAAAATATTATTTTCATTCGTCTAATGCAGGGAAAATCGACAGATGGTACCCGTTACGGTAGAAATATTTAACATCATTTTTTACCTAAAAAAGCCAAAACCAAAACAAAAAAAAGAAGCATTTCTAGATTTAAACCACTTCTTCTATGTTCCGTGTCCATTCAAGACGTAGGCGATGTTGGATCTCCACAGCTTCCTATCCCTTGTAGCACGAATATATATTGCCTTTTTGCCATCAATCACGTTTCCACTATTCATTCACATAAGCTCGTCAGGTAGATGACTCGATACCCACTGTCAATTTTACCTTCGATAGGTCCTGTGAGTGTTAAATTTTCCAAGCACACCTTCTTTTTATGTATCCAAGAAATTTCATCTAACTCTTTCTGATTGTTCTAGAGAAGGACATTTATGTCTAACATCAGGAAGAGGCACATGATGAGGAAAGAGGTCTTGGAAAATTTGATACTCACAGATTGAAATTAAGAGGGCCAGAGGAAAGCAATATACAACCTAACGGGCGAGTTTAAGAGAATGGATGGTGAAGCAGGTTTTGAGAGAGATGGTAAAAAAGACAAATAATATTAAGAGCTACAAAGGACAGAAAACTGTGCAGCGCCATGATCGCCAACGTCCAGAATGGACACGGCATATAGAAGTAGAAGATTTATATATTTATCTATGCTAGTTCTGTTAGAAAAATTTGACTTACTGCTAGAAAAAATATTTTCTTCGTGTGATAACCCAGCTCTTCTTGCAACTGCAGGAACGGAGTTATTTACTCGGGGGATGCCTGGCATCGAAGGTGATTTGCTGGGTGACGAGGAAAGTGTGAAAGCGTGCCGAATGTGCATTGCATTGAGACGACTAAGGGACTATGAAGATGTCATTTTTTTCAATGTGAGGGATTGTGCAGTTAGGAATGTACTGTCGATGTATGTATGGGTGTTTGTGATGGTCCCGGGGCCGGTGAATTGTGTTGAAACAGGTATGCTCTGCATAGAGTAGTATTTGCGCATTTTGGAGTTTAGTCCACAAAACAGATTCCGACAGTGAAAACCTGGGATAGTAGCGAAATGTAGACATCTAAATAAACGTCTTTTGTGTAACTTGCTTCTAGAATAATGCTTACTTGTTGGAGAAGAATAAATTACATAGCAATTTTATATATCAACTGAGGTGGTAGCATATGTTAGGCTCCCAACTATGGGCAAATAGTATCCCCCCAACAAAAACGAAATAGCATGAAAGTATAAAAATACATTTTTATAGTAAAAATACTAGCAGTTCATTTTTATTTATAAAAAATACCAACAATACATATTTATAGTAAAATTACCTATAATACATTTTATCTGTAGTTGAAGCTGTAAAAATTGTTCAAAAAATTTTGATTTCGGCATTAAATAACCCATAGAGGTTGATATGCCGCTAAACAAAATGAATCAACCAAAATCCAAATATTTAGATTTCGGCATTAAATAACCCATAGAGGTGTTGATATGCCGCTAAACAAAATCAACCAACCAAAATTCAAATATTTAGATTTCGGCCTTAAATATTCCATAGAGGTGTTGATATGCCGCTAAACAAAATCAACCGACCAAAATCCAAATATTTAAATTTCGGCATTAAATGACCCATAGAGGTGTTGATATGCCACTAAACAAAATGAACCAACCAAAATCCAAATATTTAGATTTCGGCATTAAATAACTCATAGAGGTGTTGATATGCCGCTAAACAAAATCAACCAACCAAAATCCAAATATTTAGATTTCGGCATTAAATAAACCTTATCGGTGTTGATATGCCGCTAAGAAAATCAACCAATTGCCATAAAATTAGGAGTTCAACGAAACTTTTATTAACGTTTTTGCTACGTGCTTTATTTTCTCTATTTTTATATATATATATATATATATATATATATATATATATATATATATATATATATATATATATTAGGAACAACTGCAATTAAAAGGTCGTTCAACGCTGCTCAAAATTTTCAATCTCTTGATCAGAGAGATCATTGCTGCCGGATGTAGTTTATCGTCATACCCAAAATTACCCTAATAATGAGGATGTATGAAAGAAGTGCATATATATATATATATATATATATATATATATATATATATATATCTTGCATACAGCTCGCTCTGCTCTTCATT